TCCAGAAGGAACTCTGAAGGGGATGGGGGAAGGGAAGGCACTTTTCTGGAGAAAATAAACCCTGTTTAGGTAAACTTCCCATCAATTGTGCAGAAGTAGCTTGGTTAACTAAGGAAATCTTATTGTAGTAGGTCATCTAAAGAAAACCACTTCTTTTGCTGGGATTGCCGTTCAGCAAAGAAGACTCCTTTCTGCGTGCGTGTGGGGTGATGCACATCCATATTGCAAGCAATCTTCTACAGATGGACTCTGTCAAGCGTGTGAGCTCGTATTTTTTTTTTAATAGATACACTTTTTGATTATAAAAGTGCCATTAAAAAAATCACTAGAAGAGTTATTCAGACTATTCGAGAGAAAGAAGTTCAGTGACTTCTGAATTCCATTGTAGTACTCGGAATTGAGTTCATGTTTGGTTTTTGGTGTTTTTTTTTTTTTTTCAAAGTTGCATTCCTAAGTACAATTTTATAAATGAAACGATGAATGGAGATTCCTTTAAGATTTTTCATTGTAGCAGCTTAAAAGCAACTGCAGTTTTCAATCTTTGGTGTGATTATAGTGTGGAAAAATGAGAAACTAATTTGGACAAGACCCCAAACTATTGATTATCATTAGTTATGTGATTCTTTTATTTGTTTTATGCTTGTGATCTGGATACTACCTTGGTGATGACATGCACAAAGGGATTCCTTGTTTAGCAATAAACATGGACAAAGATGATGTGGTAATGCATGAAGATCAGGTTTCCAGGTGGCTAATTTTAGCTACTTTCAATGCAGTTGATGTCAAGGTCCTCTTGATTTTCCTAAGGACTTGGTAGACTAGCAAGAACTTGTTATGCTCTTGAGGCGTATGGTGCGTAGTATGTGCATCTTCCTGCAGGTGTGTTCTAATACCAGTAGAAGCATCATTCAAGGCATCGCAAATGCAAACCTTAGCTTTCTATTGTTGAACTAGTTAAGGTCACAGTGGAGTTCTTATTGGTAGCTAGTGTTTGGGTGAGTACATCCACAAGTGAAAAACAGTATTAAAAAAAAGGTGCTTCATATCATTAAATCAGGAATGCGTGACTCTCTAAAATACTGCTGGAGAGACAATGTTTCCGTGGCTGCTGTGAATCAGGGCCGGTGTGGGGAAGCCCGCAGCTGTTGTGCTGTTGTCTTACCTGTTCCACCCTGAGTACTTTTTACGGCCAGCTCTGCCATGTGAACAGCAGTACGGCCTGTACCTGCTGCTATTAATGGCTTTTACAGGCAGCAGCAGTGTAAATTTGACGTGACTGCTGCCAATTCCCCTGCTGCCCAGAGGGTAGTGGGGAGCAGCGGGGAACTGACGGGAAGCTTGTTCATCGCACCCAGCTCCTGCGCTGCAAAGCTGTTAGCGGCAGCAGATAGCCTGGAGCGCTCTCGGCGCGGACTCAAGACCACATTGCGTTGGTTTATGTTCAGTTGAATATGGATGGTTATCTTTGCAGCCATGAAAAGTAAAAGCGTGCTTTTCCAAATAAAATCTTTGTTTTTTAAATAGGTGGCTGCCTCAGGGTCTTCCCTTCCACCTTCTCCTATACGTTTGTCAGTTAAGAACATCTTGCTTAATGCTGATAGACAGAATAGATTTGTAAGCCATTGGCAAAAGGATATGCTCCTTTAGGATGTTTGATCTGCATCCCTTCTCAGTAAGGGGGAGGGGTATTTTTGGCTTGGCAAAGTGCTTTGTCCTTTTTATTGTAGATGCTGTGTAGCTTTTGAAATTGTTTTTGCTGTGCATAGGGATTTATAAAGGTGTAACTATTTATAGCCATGCGTTTTTTGGAAGCGTGAAATGATTGTCAGAATAAAAGACCTCTCCTGAATTAGGTTATTTTTGTTGCTTTAGTTGCTAAGTACACACAGATACTGGCCTGGGTAATGCAAGCATGTTTCTGGTGGTTCTAATCTCAAAATACTTCTGTTGCTTTGCAGTTTTGGTTTTTGTGACAATGGTGACTTCCTTGATGAAGGTTTCATTACAGCTTTATTTAGCTTAGAATGGCTGGCTGGTACCTTCCTGCATCTTCGTGAATGTCATTTCCATATGGTTAGAAATGGCGTAGCAAAATTAGAAAAAACAAACCACACAAAAAGCCCCCAAAACCCAAACATCCTTGGTTTTGTAACAAATAGATTACTGTTTGTGCTGCGCAGGAGACCTAAACAGAAGCAATAGTGTAGAGCAAGAAGCAGAGTGTCAGCCTGAGGAGTTAAAACATATGGTAGCCTCATCCAGCATACTAACAATTCTACAGTAGAAAAAGTGGTAAAAGTTGTTGAGGAGTAACTTGCGCAGCAGCTTTGAGCTCTGAGGAGATGTCGCGTAAAAAACTTTGTTTTAGAAGTAATAGCTTATCTAGGAAGATGATTGCAAAAGAATTAGGAATAATCCACCATTTCTATATTGCCCACTTACTTATTAGCCAGTTCTTGTTTGTTTATTTCTGGCCCAGGAATGGTCAAGAAGGTACCAGTTTCTTTTTAAAAAATCCTGTTAACTGGACTGGCTTCAGGAGCATTTGGCTTAGGGCTGAAATTATACTAAGAGTACATTAGGAATATTTTAACTGATATCAACGTGCAAAACGGTACGTTATTTAGCGTTTTTACTAAGTTATGAAATAATAACCCTAAAAGATAAACCACTGCAGTTTGTTATAGGAACTGCAACTATAAGGTAGAAGCATCTTGGCTAGAGTTCTCAGAATTTAAATTAAAATTTAATAATTGTCCATGTGATTAAGCTGCATATTTACAGAATATCTTTTAATTTAAGTGGTATTGTTAAGAAAATAGTCCATTTAATGTCTTGGTACCCACTAGTATTTTCGATGGACAATGAACTTCATTTTGAGATGAACGTTAAATAGAAGTGAAATTCTGGTTAAGGCCTAATCTTAACAATCTCAAAATCTTCGCAATATTTGAAATTCTCTGTGGAAAAACACGTACATATCACAAAAGTATAAATATATATTAAGCAAAACAGAAAGCAAATCCTGATCTTCCTTTATTCTCAGAAGCCCATTAAAGAAGAACGAAGAGTCTTGCTAGAATGGAGCTATGCTGTCAAGAGCAGCTCTTTTTTTAGGAACTTTTCAAAAAAACTTGATCACATCTTATTTTTTGTTTTATTTGATACGTTGACAATACGTATGTGGTAAGCTGTGCGACGTGGTGAGGCGGCAGCTGAAGCCGCCCGCGGAGTGAAGCGGG